TTGTCTTTATGTATTTGTACAACACATGGCCATATCAGATATGTCTAGACAGAACAGAGGAATGTGCTTGATAGATGTACCTTGTATAGCACTAACATGATTAAAAGACCTGGATTTCAGCAGAAGTACTTAAAGGTTCCACAAAGAGAACTCTTGAAATTATTCTATTTCAGACTCACTTATGTTAAGCACCAGCTATCACAGCAAATCTAATCCTTTTTAGGCATGAGCTTATCTCTATCAGCAACCAAAGAGCATGAGTACTGTTGAAACCCCCTTACATTCTTAAAATAAATTTATGTAGAAATGGCAGTAGCATCAACTGTGTCCAGCTGGAGCCATTAATATGCTTCTGGATCATATACTTGTGCAGTTTGAAGAAAGTAGTGAAGAATTTGCTGCTAATCTATCTTTCTATCATATCTACCACATTTTAACCATATTTTTGACTGCAAGAAATTCTGAACTACACACATGAGGATTTTAAAACTTTTAATCTGTAAACAATGTTTTTTGTTCTTTGCAGAAATGATGGCAGAAGAATCTTAAATACATATTTAATTGAAAGAGCTTAGGTTGTGACTGGAAAGTGAGGAAAATGTGAATTAATTCACCCTGTCTTGCTGCAAATTTGCCATTGGGCATTCAGTTCTCTAGTTTATAAGTGGCCACAGAAGCATAGAAGGAAAAAAAAAGCCTTCTACTTGCAGCCCCATTTGAAGCACCTATAGGTGGCACATTTCAAAGGAACTGCCTTAAGAAGACTTTCCTCCCCATCACTTCAGTAGCTTATCTTGTTGGCAGAGTTCTTAAGGTGTTGAAAGAATGAATGAACGAACGAATGAACCAGCCTGGACTGGGTGAGCTGTTCAAAAAAAGAAGTGGCAGCTTAGGGGAGCAGAAGCTTTGCAGAGAGGTGAGTACAGGTACTGCTTTTGTGTGTGTGTGTCTGTGTTTGTGTGTGCGTGTACACACACACACACACTTTCTTTTGTCCTCATTCCTCCTCCCACACTACTCTCTGCTCTCTTTTCTTCCAGCTGGCACGGCTTCTTTCACTCTTCCTCCATCCATTCCTCTACAGATATGCCACCTCCCTCTATCCACACAGGGAAAAGCCTTTTCAAATCCATCCTGCAAGAAAAAAGTAGTGCCTCTAGCCAGAAATGAAAAAAGCCAAATTTCAAGCCAAAATAGCTGGACAGATTCAATTTAGCCTTTGAATGATGCAGACAGGAAAAATTAATTTTAATTCACCCATTTCCTCAATAGAGCATATCCCAAATTATTTGATGGTGTAGTTGGGCTCTTAACTTTAGCTATAGTGATGCACAATATGTACTTAGTACAACAGCACAAGGCATTGAGTGACTGCTGTTTTGAAACTTGGTAAAGAACCCAGAGAACCAAAGAAACTTCAGGCTGATCTGAAGAAGGCCCATATGGGGTGATATGCTTCTATTAAAACACTGATTAGGAAATAAGGATTCAACCTGTGTTGGGTGAGGCTACAGGACTCCTATTAAGAACTCAAATTCCCATATGGTTATATTCCTCTTTTTTGTCTGGAACCTAGTAGCTCAGTTTCTGTAATATCCAGGGATCTTTACACTGCTATATCTGGTGTGCCATCTACTCTGCTCCTGGAAATTTGGCTATGGTGACACATGTCATAGAGCAGTGGGCCTCCAGATGTTCTTGGAATACAACTCCCAGAAGCCCTCACCACCACCTCTGCTGGCCAGGATTTCTGGGATTTGAAGTCCAAGAACATCTGGAGGCCCAAGGTTGGGGACCACTGTTATAGAGTGTGACTATATGCTCAAATACAACAGGATTTGCTCTGCTTCTTAAAAAGATGAATTCAAAGGGTTCCCCCCCACCCCATCACTCGACACAAAGGCTGATTTAATTTGATCCATCCTTTTTTTTTTCTCTCCAAAGCCACTTTTTTCTCCTCTCTTCTGCTGGGGGGAGGGGGAAGAAAGGCTTCCACTTTTGAAAGCCAGAATAATTCAAATGGGTTTGTTCTTGTGCAGTTGTGCTTGTAAAGAGGGGGCATATCTGTAGGTGGTATTTCCGTGATGTAGGTAGTGGAGTGTGATGTTCAGGCCCAAAGGGACAAACAAAAGCAAAACACTGTGGAGGATCATGTGCTAAACCCGAATCCTGTCAAACACAGGATTTAGATTGTGCCGGAAAACCCTTTTGTTGTGAAGCAAAAGCTTAATACTGTTAACTACTTAACTGGCAGGTCTGAAAGTGAACTTAAAAAGTTTATCATGCCAATAGTTTAAAACTATATGTTACCAGAGATGAGGTAACTCCTGTATATGCTACTTTAAAGGGAGCAAAAAGAGTAATGGATGGGAACGGGGAAGTTGTGCATTTTTTGAGAAATGTAGTTTTAAATGAGAAAGCAGTTTCCCAGTGAACCCAGTTTCCCAGAGAACCATTCTTCTGGTCCAGCGGAGGCAGGACCAGAGGAAGGAAGGATTGGTAGAGGTGGGATCAGAGGAATGAACGGGGCTAGGCTATGGGCTGGAATGCCACTTGCATTGCATCCAGTATGAAGTGTGAACTCCTAAATCAATATGTAGTCCCTGCAAAAGTGCTGATTGGAATTTCAAACATAATGCAGACTGTGAATCAAATCACAGCAAAGCCAAGTTGTTCCAGTTCAGCTTTCCAGTGTAATCACTTCCTTAGTTACATCAAATTTGGATTACTCTTAAAGGCTCTAGATAGAGCTGCCTTTGAAAAACTAGTAGGGAATTTCATCTCATTAAGAATGCTGAAGTCATGCCACTGAATAGAGCTGGTTATAGGGAGCACGCAACCTCCTTGTTATGACAACCTACTTGTTATGACTATCTATAGGTGTTTATACTGGAGTAAACATGCCCACAGAGAGAATGTTAGTATAGAATATACATATTTAGCTTGTGAATTATGACTGCACTAATTAACGTTTATGTCATCTTTTAAAGCATTATTTTAATAATCAAAGCTGAATTACATTCTAATTTCCCACACTGCCATATTATGAAACCCTCAGCCTGTATTCTTGCTATCATATGTTAGAGTATCACATTGTCCTGTTGGTGCACAACTGTACCATAAGGCAGCTGTCAATAATACAGAGTCTTAGGAGGCCCACCCCAACTGGCCAAACTGCTGCTGCGGTGCAACAGCTCATAGGAGTTGGGCTCTGTGGGGTTGGCCTGTCTATGCCAGCTTCTCTGTGTCATCACAAACCCCAAAAGCAGCATCACTTCTTCTCCTTGCATCCAATAAATAATTGCCCTCAAAAGTTCAAGCTGACATCAGTCACTGTCCCACCGTCTCGTTTCGGGAGATGCAATGGTTAGGGTTGGGTCTGTCGCGCTGTATCCAGATCACAGGTGAGACTCTTAGGGCCCACACCCATTAACCCTTTTGTCAGCATGCAGCATGGTGGAGGGAAGCAGAGCCACCAACCACCTTGCAGAAGCAGTTACTCACACACACTTTTTTTGGGTAATAGATGGGCTATCCTGCAAAACCTGGCACAGTTATTCCAATCACAGGTCCCAAAAGGAAAGTGGAGATATGCTAGAGGGCTCCATGGTCAGCTGCTAACCATGGAGCCCTCTCGTTCGGTTCTCTTCCTTGTGATACCCAAAGGCCCAGAAGGTGAACAAAGTGTTGTTTCCATTTACAGTAGTGTACTAGGTCAAGCCTCCTTTCTGTGCTGCCCATAAAAAGACTGAGCCTCCAGGAGAGGTAGAGCCTGATAGTGAGAGAGAAAGCAGCCACCACTGTTCTTTCCAGCCCATCCCTTCCGTGTCTTCCATTCTTCTGGGAGGAGAAAGTGCCGTCAAAAAGTAGCAACTGTAGCTGCCGGTTGCTCTCCGCTTCAGAAGCGATCGCTTCACCACATCGCTTTCAGATCCTTTTCTTTCTCCCAGTGAGGGCAACCAAATACTGTACAGTATTACCTCCGTGAAGTCGCCCAGGAGCACATGACGGAAACAGCGCTGACCAGCCCCAGCGCCTGTATTCGTGCTGCCTAGCATCGTGCAGGTAGAATGCCCGTCGCCTAACTACGTACTTGCGCGCTTGCCCTCGCCTTATGGGCGGGAAGAGAGGCAGCGCCATGAAGCCCAACTCTCTGCCCAGGGCAAGGGGAAAACGTGCGACCAGCTGTCTCTGCCCGCGTGCTTGTTCTTTTCTTTCCGCACGGCAAAGACAGCTGTAGGAACTGGAAGACGACAACGAGAAGGCCCCCAACCAAGGGTTTTTTCCCTGAGTCCCTTGGTGCCCGCAGTACTGTATAGGAAAGAGCGGGAACCTAGTAGCCGGCGGTGCACTGTTTAAGGGGCAGATGCTAGGAAGCCTCCCCCCACCCACCCCCGGCGCGCGCGCACTCCGGCGGCGCGTGGCTCCAGCTTTTCGGACAGCTTTCCCGCGGGGACAGGCGCACGCGCGCCTCCCGTCTTTCTTGGAAAAGGTCTTTCTGCGAGGCGAGCGGCTACTTGTGGGAAAACGCAACAAAAGAGAGGGAGGAGGGCTCTGAGGAGGGAAAGCGGGCGGGCGGGCAGGCGAGGAAGGGGGAACAGGACCGGGACGCCTTTCCTTCCTTCCTTCCTTCCCTCCCTTTCCTTCCCTCGCCAGCCGCTCTCTCTCTCTCTCTCTCTCTCTCTGAGGCGCAGGCAGAGGGCGCTTTAGCCATGCCCGCCCCCTGCGGTTGCTGCCGCCGCCGCTGTCGCTGCAACTCCTCGGCTCCACGCGCTGGAGAGGCTCCCGCTGCCCGGCTCCTGCTGTTGCCGCTGACAGACACCCGGAGAAGCAGGGGGAAGACTGAGCCGCGCTGCTGCCCCTCAGCGGCTTCGTTCCTCATGGGCATATAGACCTTCTGGGGGGGGGGGGGGGGGAGGCGGAAAAGGACCTCCCCCCCTTAACC